TTTGTTTGCATTTCCTTGTGTGATATATGTATAATGGAATATTGTCATTAAAAAGAAGGAAATCCTATCATATGATACAACATGGATGAATTTTGAGAAGATTCTGATAAGTGAAATAAGTCAGCCACCAATGGACAAATATTGCATAATTCCACTTACACGAGATATCTAAGGTAATCAAACATAGAAGCAGAGCATGAAAAGGTAGTTGTCAGGGACTGGGGACAGGGAGGTGATGGTTAAAGAGAGCTGAAATCTCTTATTACATTGTAGAACAGTAGGTGATACCTGAAGTGGAAAAAGATAACCCTGTCCGTGTGCTATTCAAAATATAGAGTCAATTATTTAAAGAAATATTTAAGAAATGAAAAATGGTTGCCTATGGGGAATGGGCTTCAGGGATGGAGCAGAAAGCCTCCATCTTTTCTAAAATACCACGAGCTTTGCTATGTGTCCTTGAATCATGGCACCATCCATGATGCCTGCAGGAAGGTGCTGGGGCTCCTCCTCTGCTTTCATAGCCCTTAGTGTTGTGGTTTTTGGAGTCAGTGGGCTTGGAGTGCGGGGTCCTTGGGTTCATTCTGGGAAAGGTTTCACCAGAGTTCCCATTTCAGCAATATGTAGCGAGTTTCCCAGGCGAGTTTCTCCACTAGACAGAGATGTTAATTACATTTAAAGAGCAGGTTTATCACATGCAATTTGCAGCAACATGGATGGCCCTGGAAGGGATCATGCTCAGCGAAATAAGCCAGAAAGAAAAAGAAAAATACCGGATGGTCTCACTCATAGCAGGAATCTAGAAAACTTAACTAAGGGACCAGGAAAAAGAATAACTACAAGAAAGTAAAAATCGGGGCCTCCCTGGTGGTGCAAGGGGTTAAGCATCGCACTATGAAGCAATCCTCAACTTCTGCAGCATGAGTTTGATTCCCCCGGCCGGCCAGGGAGCAACCCACATGGCGAAACAGACCTCTCCTGTCTCGCCCGCTGCTCCCCTCAGCAGTGTATTTCAGTTCGTCTACCTGTTCTGTTCCCTACTCTGTCTCTGGTGAATCCTCTCATCCCCCTGCATATCTGGTCTGTACCCCAGCTCTTGTATGCATAAATAAATAAATCTTTAAAAAAAAAAAAGAAAGTAAAAATCAAAATCAACAAACTATGAACCAGAGACACTCTATGGGGGGTGGGAGGGCGGGGAGGGGAGGGATTGGGGTCAAAATAAGGGGGTCGCAATTGTATGGGGAATATAAAAATAAAAAAAATTATATTAAAAAAATAAAGAGCAGGTTTATTAGGGAAAGGGATGGAAGAATAAAGAAAATTGTATAGACACAGGCAGGCAGAAAGAGCTGCCCAGAAAGGGACAGGTTTGCTAAGAGGTGCGTGGTCTCAGGCAGGTAGACTTGAGGATAGCTGCCCTGCTGAGGGAGGTCGGTGAAGAGAAGTCCCTGCATGATACTGGTCATGGGTGGGCAGAAAGCTGCTGCCCTGGAGAGGGAGAGAGTGGGTGAAAAGAGGCACCTGCATAGTCACAGGTGGGCAGTGGGATTGCTGCCCCGAGCCTATGCAGACACTGAACTGATACAGTCTTCTTCTATTTGGGAGGGGCTCACTCCTTGTAAGCCAACTGGTTGTTAATTTTGGATAACTTTAAATCACTGAAAAGGGCCAGTGATTCTACAATGGGCTCAATCTCCATATCTTTACCTTTGGATGCGCCCTCATACCTGCTTGGATGTTATGCTTTGTAATCTAGGCGTCTGCATCTGTGTGTAAGGATACTAGTTTCCATAACTGTGTCCTCTGCCCTAAGGATCTTGATTTTCATAGCTGTGTAATGGCTATGCTAATCTCCTTTACCCCCACCTCCTTGTGTGAGCCAGGTTTCTGGTCTTGTGGTACACCTCCTTTTCAGTTTTTTTTTTTTCTATTCTTGTCCTCCATTATTAGCATCAACCTCCAGGACCATGGACCCCACCCTGCCTTCTAACTGTTCGTTTCCCTAGCTTTCCAATAGATCATGAACACTTGCAGGTTGGGGACATGGGTGTTCCATCATTGTGTCTCCTGGGGCCTGATACGGTGCCTGCACATAAGGGTCACTCAGTCATCATTCTGAGTGGAACAGGGCCTTATCAAGACTTGGCGCGTAGAGAAATTTTGTCCTTATTTGGTGGATGAAATCCAAACCAAAATTTAAAAAGTGAGTGACTTCTGGTGAAGAATAAAGATAAGTGGAAGTCACTTCCCTCTTGCTTGGTTCTAGACAGGCGGGCAGTTGGGGAACCACTTCCTCTCACCAATCCTGAGAATTGTCACCCAACCCTCACCAAATTTTTCCTCCTCTGCATCTTGCCTGTCTTCGGTTTTTGAGGAGGAGATTAGGGAAGATGAATCAGAGGAGAGAGAGAGAAGATCTGAGCTATCTGGAGGATGCTTCTACTAGTCAGAGTGGGGAGTGAGGGATGTACTTCTGAGCAGAGCCAAAGGGTTCTCCTAGTTCCTGACCTTGAGCCCAGCCAGGTCTTCATTATGTGTGTATCTTAAAACAGTTCACCGGGTGAGCATGGCCTGGAACCGGGTACCTACTTTGTAGGACCCAGTGGGAAATGAATAGGTGGGTCCCTTGTAAATTTACCAAGAATTTTAAAACAATGACAGCAGAACATTAAAGAAAGTTGTTTTCCTGAATTGGGGGAACTCTGTGCCTGGGCAGGCTGCCTACCCCTGGAGGCAGGCCTGGGGCACCTCCATGGAGGCCTCAACTCTTTGTGAAAGTTAATATATTTTCTAGAAATTCTTAAGAATTTCTAGAGGGGAGAGCAGAATGAACTTTAGTGGAAGAATATGGGTGCTTTGCTGGTGGAAGAACTCTGGTGACCACAACTGAGGGGAGAAATTCTATACTGTCAAAATATTAACAAGGATGTAAAACAATGGTACTTCATTAAGTTGACTGACTGACTAACCAATTAACATTAGTTAAATAGAAAAGGAGAGTAAATAGAAAAAAAAAGAGGATAAAGAAAAGCAAAAAGGGATAAGAAACAAGGTCAAAGACATTTGAGACACAGTGTACCCACACTCTCCACCAATATTCTGTTGAATCCCAGGAATTACTCCTGTACCTGTCTCTACTTTTACTCTATGTTCTCAATAAGGATGAATTTTATTTATTTATTGTTTATGAATTTTATTTATTTTTTTCACTTTGCAATAATTTTTTTTATTACTAGTTTCCCAATTATCCTTATTGAGGTTAAGTCAGTTTACATCATTGTATTTGTGTTAGGGGTTGTAGGTGCAAATTTCTACAAATAAATGTTTTCATACCGTGTCCATCATCCAAGTCCTAATAATCTGCCATGCTTCCTTGACCTGGACCCCCCTCCCCTCCCCCCCCGCCCCGCAACCCTCCCCTTCTGGAACCTTTGATGTCAGATGTCAAGGGTTTGTTACTGGTTTGGTTTTGTCTGACCCTTTGATTTGTTTCTCTATATTCCATATATACATGAAGCCAGCCGATAATTTGCCTTTGTCCTTTGGATTTCTCTTGGTGTTATCCTCTGGTTCCAAAGAATGAGTTTTAAATTGTTGCCAGAGAGTATTTCCCAAGGCAACAGAGAGCAGGCCTGAACCCCCTTACACCCAGGAATAATGAACTCCAACTCATTGTGCAATGGGCACCTGGCTGGAGACTTTGCATTTTTATTCAGTTTATATTTTTCTGTTTCACCTATCTCCTGGCCTTGGTCAACATTGCAGACAACATTTACTTTTCTGCCCAGTGCCTCCTCCCATTTGGGTTTTTTTTTAAAAGATTTATTTATTTATGCATACAAGAGCTGGGGTACAGGCCCAGGATGCAGGGGGTGAGAGGATTCACCAGAGACAGAATAGGGTACAGAATAGGCAGACTGACTGAAATACACTGCTGAGGGGAGCAACAGGCGAGACAGGAGAGGTCTGTCTCGCCGTATGGGTTGCTCTCTGGCAGGCCCGGGATCAAACTCGTGCTGTGTAGTGTGGTGCTTAACCCCTTGCACCACCAGGGAGGCCTTCTCATTTGGTTTTACTTACACTTGCTTCTTTTGAAATGCAAAGCATGTGGGGTGGGGGGACTTGCAGGCTCTGGACCCCTTTCTGCCTCCTGCTCGATGTTCTGGGTCCTGTGCTGCCCAGGCCTCTGGTCAGCTTAGTGGTTGCTTTTGAATGTTTTAAGTTCCAAGGAATCATGACTCCAGGGAGGCAGAATCTGTTGGAATGAAAAAAGAGATGTATTTAAAAACTAGAAGGAAATGGATTCAGAGATGAATATTTGGCAAAAGTCACATTTGTGAATTTTAAAGAGGGCCCGTGGTGGGGAGAGAAAGCTGTACTCAGCCCCCAGCTCCGCACAGGGCTTCGCACAGCCAGAAAGCAGAGGATTTTGCCAAAAAATGAGGGAGTGAGCCAAGAGAGTGGGGACTAGGAATCTGCAATTGGCCCACTCGATTATAATATTAAAAAATTAATAGTTTGCATATTCCTCCCTGCCTTCCAACATTGAAATCCCCTTAAGCTTGGCACAGCTGGATAGTAGGCCGCAGATGACTATCAGAACTGTCCGACCTTAGCAATAAATAGTCCACACAGACAGTGGCCCCAGCAGTGGGTCTGTGTTTTAGGACTTATCTACATGGCAGCAGGAGCATTTGGGTTAGGACGAGGAATCCAGGGATGGATTTGGGCAGGCCTTTGATCTGAACTGACTGAAATAAAAGAAACCAAGGCATCCCTGATTGCCCGACCAGATTCCCTACCCAGCTCCTTGCAAGCTCAGACGATTAATAGGGTCACAAAATGCCAACCTTAGCGACCCGGATTCCTAGCACTGGAAGTGATTGCAAATTTGACTCATGAGCTGCTCCCCAAATTGCTCTGGCCTCTTTATTGTTTGAAACAGATGAAGATAAAAGTTAACGCGGCCCTCGTGAGTCATGTCAGGCTTCACATTACAGAAACAGCCATCCTGGGAGGAGAATTGAGGACAAAGCCTTTGAGAGTGGGCACAAATGAGCGCAGAGAACAAGGCTGCTTGAAAATCCAGTGTCTGGTTCCCAGGAACTTAGCACCAGATAACTGTTCCCTGGTAAGAGCGCTTCTCATTAGTCATTTCCATTAATAAACACACGCGATTGCCATATGGAAATATGATCTGCAACCCCGATTCCTCCGAAAATAGAGCGTTCCCAATTGCAGCTATTTAACTTCCCTTACAAATACTCTTCTGACTCTTCCTTCAGAAAGACTTTTCTCAAACATTCGGGGGAGGAGAAAGTAATGGGACAGGCAACAGGGAGGACTGACCTGAAAATGGCCCCAGGATCTTCCACAGGTGAGTATACACCACTGGTCTCCTCAGACCCAAGGAAAATTAGGAGCCCATGATAGGCAATAAGTCAAGTTTCCTTTGTGCCCAGAATCCAGTGATCAACTATGACATTCATCACAATGGCACCATGTTGCAGGAGAAAGCACAGGGAACTTGAATTTATATCTTGATCAGAATATGCTTAGCTGAGTGACTCTGGGCAAGATGTTGAGCCCCTCTGGGCCTCAGTTTTCTCACTGAGATAGTGAAGATACTCAGCCTAGAGAAATATGGTCACTTGCTTTATGAGGGGAACAAAGTCTTAGTAAATAATTCTGTGCCTAGGAAGGGCTTGAGGTATACTCTGGGTACAGATGGCGGGAAAGATGATCTTGTGCTTGTGGAGGGGACTCTGCTGAGCAATGCCAGTCATGTCTCCTTGTTCTCCTTTTACATGTTCTCTGGGAAGGAGGGCAATTTGTGAGAGGTCAGTTCCGATGATCCTTATGCTGAAATTGTTGCCATTTTCAAACTGGGAGCTTTACTTCTTTTAATGTTTGATTTGGTCTCCCTCAATTTTCCTTCCTATGCCTGGAATCCCAAACTACATTCTCTCAGAATCTATAAGGTTTAGAAACAAAATGTCTTAACTCCTACCCTAAAATTAGCTCAATTGCTAAAGAAAGTAAAGATATAGTGTAGGGAATATCATATGAAATTTTAAAATAATGAAAAGAGTTTAACATGTTTATTTGCAATAGCAACAAATTGGAAGTAATCTAGATGTCCCACAGTAGAGACAAAGGAATACTATGCAGCCCTTAAAATGTAGTTGTTGAAGAAAATGTAATGAATGTTTTTGGAAATGTTAAGTGAAAAAAATAAAATTTAACTACAAATCAAAATATTAACAGATATATACATATATGATGAGTTATGGAGGTTTTGTTACTTATTAATTGCCTAAAAAGCACACAACATAAAATTAACCATCTTAGATTTTTTTAAGTGTACCGTTCAGTAGAATTAGATATGTTCATACTACTGTATGAATATAAAAAATCACTATCTCCATGAATTCCATTAGTCTGGGTGCCTCATATAAGTAGAATCATAAAGTATTTATCATTTTGTGGTTGGCTTATTTCACTTAACTTAGTGTCTCATTGTGTGACATGAATCATATTCCATCGTATATCTATGTCTTATTTTATTTTCATTCATTTTGGTTGCTTCTATTACCTGTTGGCATTTATGAAATATGCTGCTGTGAACATGGGTGTGCAAATACCTCTTTGAGTTCCTACTTTAAAATTTTTTTGGATATATTCCCAGAAGTGATATTGCTGGATCATGATAATCCTATTTTTAATTTTTTTGAGAAACTTGCCCAGAGAAACTGCACAATTTTATATTCCCACCAATAGTACACAAGGGTTCCCTTTCCTCTTGCCAACACTTGTTCTTGCCAACACTTGTTATTCTCCGTTCTTTTTTTTTAATAGTAGTTATTTTCATTTTATGCTTTGGTATATCTCCCCATTTGTTTTTCATTACAACCAGCACTTCTTATGTAATCAGAAAACCCACAATAAATCTCATGTAAAAGATAGAGTGGAGGAACTGATATTTTCTTTCTTTTTATTTAAAACTTTATTTATTTATATTCTTATATTGTTGTTAATTTTGGGGGCTGATATATTCTGTGTCTTATTAACAAGTCTTGGGTATTCCTGGATGCTGTTCACTCCCAGACCTTACCTATTCTATTGCCTTGAATCTGTCTAATTAAGTGTTAGAGATTATGTCTATCAGGGTAACCTGAGAAAAATATTAGAGTAGTGTTGGCATTCTTGTTTGCAGAGTAAGAAACAAAAGATTTAGGTTGTTTCTATGCTCCCACAAAGGAACTAATTGAATTTAGAAAATTAAAAGTATTTTAATGTAAAAGATCAGTTAAACCAAATATTTTAGATTTTTATGAAATAATGGACTCATTATTTGAAGTTGAAGAAAATAATTAGCTTGTTATGTGGCTTCATATGGTGCAGTCTTTAATATTTTGCCAACAATTAGCTTCAGAAGGTGGATCCTCATCATGTCTTATTAATAGACCTTGCAATTCAGTGCAGTCCCACCACACAGCCATTTGTTGAAGACCCTACTAAGAGATAGGTGCTTTGACTAATCCTGTCCTTAATGCAGATCATTTTATTTTATAGATGAGTTATTAGGGCATGAATGTATTCACCAATTCACCATGCACGGAAATGTGAAGTGTTGACTGAGGTTGACTATGAGACAAATGGCAAATGTGGAAGTGGACTCGGAGCTGTGGGAAGCTTTTAAAATTTAAAAAAATGTGTATGTTATTTCAATGGTTGCCTTAGGGAAGAAACTGCCCTAAGTTCTTTTCTTCTTAAGCTCTTGATTTTAAGTCTACTGTGTTGGGAAGTTAATTGATTTTTTCAGTTTGGTTCAAGAGCTTTTAAAAGTAGCAGCTGGGGGATCATTGATGGAGGGTTGATCTATTCCAAGAGTTTTGAGAAGGCTATTTTGTGGTGCATGGCTTTCTTTCGTCTTCTCAGTATTTCCTCATCAGAGAATAAAGACTCGCCTACAGCACTCTGTGTACCCAGGCCATGAAATGAATCATTCCAGGCTACTTAAGTAAATCAAGTCAGAAACTTCTGCCATACCAGCTCCCTCCTTCTCTGCTTTCTTATGAAAGGATCTGAATATTCTTCAACCATGAGATTAAAGTGTTAGTGTTGAATGAGACTGGCAGTAAAAACAAACAAACGAAGAAAGAGACAATATGTATTGTGTCCTGGTACATGCAGTAGCTGGTGAGGATTAAGAGGGAGGACTATGCAAGGAACAAGCACATTTTTAATCTACTGGAAGCATCAGGATGGCACAGACATTACTTTTTACTGTTGAACGGAAATAAGTAAGAACACATCATGTGACAGGGTACATTGGCCCGAGATGCTGACTTGGGTATCAAGAGAATTGTGATGAATTACTTAATCGTCTTTCACCCCCACCCTACCTATTTCTGGGTATTATTAATATTATCTCCATCTTGCTCTTGAGTGAACTCTGGCACAGAGAAGGGATTAGCTTAAGCTCACACAGCCAAGAAGGGCCAGAACTGGTGAATCTTAGCCTAAAAAATCCAGAACCTGTATTTACAACCAGGTCGTTTTTCTGTCTCAGACAGAAAATGAGATGAAATGAGAAGTGAGATGAAATGAGCTTGTGTAGCTCCAAGTCAGCAGATGGGATGAAAAGAAAAGGGACCTCGAATGTGAGGTTCACTGTTAATATCAGACTAGATTCCAAGTAGATCTTTGTCCAGGAGTTTGTGAGGTCAGAGACCCTGTGGTCCTGCCCCCAACCGGCAAGCTCCCTCTACTCACCGGGCTGGCGACTCTCTCTTCTCTTTGTCCCCAGTGGGGGAAGGTTGGGGTGGGGGCGGGCAAACAAATAGGGACGGTGATGGCTTTAGGTTGTCAGGAGCCAGCCAGTGCAGTCCCAGGGCAGAGGAAGCAGAGTCTAAGGGAAAGGTTAGTTAAAGCAGTAATGCTTTATGGCTTACTAATGAATTCCATTTTATAGTCCAACTCCCTTAAGTTGTCTCTTCCTGTGATTAATTCCTCTTCTCCCAGCCCCCTTTAAGCAGACATTGTTGATAGGGAGTGTTCAGTGTTGAATGAGTAAAACATACTAATGCATGTTCTCTTCAGCCAGAGATAACCTTGCTTTAACCATGATGAATGCAACTTTTACAAGGGAAGACACCATCAGGAAAGGGGCTTTTGGCTTATGCATTAGACACTCAGGTAAAGCACGTTGCTTAGCAGTGTTTCAATCTCTTTCTCTCAAACATTTTTTTTGAATACCTTGATCTGTCTTTCAGTGTCTCTAAAATGAAGTGATTCACGGATGTAAATACCCCAACTGACAGCTTTGTTCTGGATTGAATCAGCTCTCTGGCCTTCCCTGCCCCCCAAATACTCCACACCTTTTCCTTCCTTAGTTATCTAGGAGACAAAGAAGTAGATTTTTGGGAAACTCATAGAGCTTAAAAGTCATTAAATTACACAGGATTAGAAGTGACTCCTTTTGGGGATCAGGGACTTTTAATTCTCCTTATGTGTGTTTGTGTGCATGGACTTGGAGGCAGAACAGAGAGGATTTGCTGGTTAGGATTATGCACTTTTTGTTTCAGCCCAGACTTCTTCATTTTGGCCCAGGCCACCAAAATATACAGAATAAAACCACCTGTCACTAGTGATGGTTATTTATCAGGATGTGTCCGGTATTGAGAAAGCTCTAGAAAAAGGGGAGGCATGAGCTGGGACTCAAGTGGGCAGCAGATCAGAGCAGATGCCCACAGGATGGACGAGCCCATGTGAAAACAGAAGAGAAAAGCAAGCAAAGCTATCTTTGTGTGAACAAGTTATTTACATATCTACTTTCTTCCAGCCCTTACAAAGGATCTCTTCCATGTTGGCAGGAGAAGACTTTAAAGAGGAAAAAAACAATCTCTCTCCCAGAACTGATAACCAAATAAAATACTGTCATATTTTCTGTCTAATAAGCACAAGAAGTTCCATAACTCCCTTGATTAAGCATATTATCCTTTTTCAGAAAGTCAGCTTGATTTATGCAAAAAGTGATTTGGACATACTTTCTCCGGCCATGGAGATTTCATAATTCCTAGTGTACGTCTGGAAAATCTCCTCTGGTCGTGAGTCCAAACCAAATTAATGTCTTCCAGAGTGACCTGAGGGATTAATGAGGTTTCTGCTGTCAGTTCTACCCATCCAGGGTCAAGTAAATCATTTGCTGGCTCTCTGACTCCACGTTGGATGATAACAACACTGCAGATGCCTTTGAAATACAGCATCACTGACACTCTCCGTCCATCTGCTGGGACATATTTTAGGCTCTGCTTCTCTTTCTGCTGTAAACTCGGCCTTTAATGGAGTCAGTAATTGCTGATAAATGGGGTATCAATGAAGTCAGCGTACTGGAGGTTTCCCCACGCTTTTCTGCTGATGTGTACTATTTAAATCTCTTCTGACATTGGCCTGGAATTATTGTTTGCCCAGCTCTTTAATTCCCTGACTGGTGTTCTTAGTTGAGTTCTTTATCTTCCTTCTTTTTGGACAAACATGAGCTGGAGGGCAAGAGACTTTCCTGGGTCCTGTGTTCTTCCTACCAGAAGGAGTTATACAACCTGCTGTCAGATCACATCTGCAGAACTAGTTGGAGTTTAAAGATTTTCTACCCTAATTATGCTGCTACCCAAGTGCTAGGACCCACTCCTTTGTGGGCTTAAACTATGAAATAATGGGAAGGTTTTGAAAGCTTTGAAAGAAATGTCTCTTGGATTTCTATACTCTAAGAATGGAGTTTTAGCATTTGTCACTAAACATCACTATTTTCTTCTTTGTTCCTCTGCTTATAAATGGGGATTAAAGGTAAAAGCACTGGTACATTCTATGGAATACTATTCAGGCATAAGGAAAGATGAAATGCAGACATTTTCAGCAAAATGAGGGCATTTGAGAGAATTACATGTGTCAAAGTAAGCCAGAACAATAACAACAAACACTGGACATTTAAATAGAGGGAATTTGACAACGTAAAATACTTACAAAAGTGAGCATACATGAATAGAACAGCATGCAGGCTCTGAGGTTAAAGGGGAAGCGAGGGACAAGGGGCATGTAAGGGATGCTGGTGGGGTAAAAAAAAAATAGCACAAGAACGGGATTTTAAAAAATAGATGTTCCATAAAATGACACACTGACCAATGGAACAGAATTGCGAGCCTAGAAATAAATTCACACTTATGAAAAAGAAGCCAAAAGTATAAAATGGAGAAAGGGGGGTCATTTTAACAAATGATGCTGGGAAAACTGGACAGCCACGTGCAAAAGAATGAAACCAGACCCCCTCTTTCACATCATATACAAAAATTAACTCAAAGTGCATTGAAATCATGGAAGTAAGACCTGAACTCATAAAATACAGAGAATGAAACACAGGCAAGACACTCCATGCCACTGGCTTCCGTGATGTCTTTGGGGAGTTGACTCCAGCAGCAAAGGAAACAAAAGCAAACATAAACAAATGGGGCTACATTAAACTTAACAGCTTCTGCACAAAAGAAACTCTCCAAAAAAATAAAAATGAAAAGATATCCTACAGAGTGGGAGGAAATATTTGCACACCATATGTCGGACAAGCAGCTGATATCCGGGATCAGCAAAACACTCACACGACTCAACAAAAAGAAAATAAATAGCTCAATCAAAAAACGGGCAGAAGAGCTAAACAGACACTTTTCCAAAGAAGACATACAGATGGCCAATAGGCACATGAAAAGATGCTCTTCTCTGCTTACCAGTTAGGGCTGAAGGTGTGGTTGGCCCTTCCCGGTCTCAGTTTTCTCAACTGTAAAATGGGCCTGGCTGGACCTACCTTTCTTATCGCGGGACTTGGGAATGTGTTTGCCCCTGCTGCAGACACATTTTTTTTTAAGATTTATTTATTTATTTATACAAGTACAGTCAGAAGTGCGGGAGGGTGAGAGAATTCACCAGAGCCAGAGCTGAGAAGAGAACAGGCCGACTGATGAACGACACTGCTGAGGGGAGCGGCGGGCGGCAGGAGTGGTCTGCGCGCCATGTGGGACCCTCACCCGGCGGCTGGGGATCGAACCGGCGCTGCAGAGGCTGTGGGCAGTTTTGCAACCCAGCGCTCAAACGCTGCGCCACTGGGGAGGCCCTGCAGACACATTTTTGAGCACTTATGTGCTAAGTACAGAAACAAGTACCTTTCCTATACTATCTCATCCTCACAAAAGTTCTATGAGACCAGTGCTCTTCCAGATCACCATTTTACTACTAAGGAAATGGAGACATCATTAAAGTAAAACAAAGAAAGGAGGGAAGGAGGGATGGAAAGGAGAAGGGAGCGGAGCAAAGAGGGAAGAAAGATATCAATAAAATTATGGGTATTAAAAAATAGTTTGGGGACTCCACAGTGGCGCAGCGGGTTGAGTGCAGCACTGTGAAGCTGCCCTCAGCCACTGCTGCATGAGTTCGATTCCCAGCCAGGGAGCTACCCACATGGTGCGGCAGACCTCTCCTGGCTCACCCACTGCTCCCATCAGCAGTGTATTTCAGTAGATCTGCCTGTTCTGTTCCCCGCTCTGTCTCTGGTGGCTCCTCTTACCCCCTGCACCTCTGGTCTATATCTTGGTTCTTGTATAAATAAATAAATCTTTAAAAAATAATAAAAAATAGTTTGTAGCTCTTCCTATATACTTTTCAAACACTTTAAATATTATTTTATCTTTCCTTCTCACAAACTGTTAGGTATTTATTGATATGCCCCTTTCACTAGAATTTAGAGAGAGAATGAGAGTCTTCCCTCAGTTCTCACAAGTCAGGAAGGGCAGGGCTGCTGCTTGGTAGAGATACACTCTTTGTAAACATGCTTCAAGGAAAGAAAGAACCATGTTAATAGTATCATGAGATGCCCGACCGCCTTGGGGAAACGTGACCCACGAACACAAATTGGAAAATGGCCTGTCCCACGCATATTTTAGATTAGACCGTAAAACAAACAAACAATAAACCAAATCACTAGGGGCAAGCAAGTTGTGACCAAGGAATGATTGGCAGGGCTGGAGAAGATGTAGAAAAAGAGAGCAACCTCTGAGAGGAATATTAGGGAATTTGGTTTAAAGTGGTTCTGAGGCTGAGAGGAAACCCTGCTGAATAATCTTGATAAAACATTGAAAATGCCAGGCAAGCTAAATCTCTCTGAGGCTTTGCATCCATTTTTGATTTTGTTCAGCTGGGAAATACCTCAGAAGTTTTTCTTCAGCTGTGTGTTTCCCACGAGTTGGAAACCAATGTGTGGTAGATGGAGTTATTTCCATTTCAAGTAAAACAAAAGTAAAAGAAAGATTAGATTTAACTTTCTGAGACAGAAAACATTTGCTTTTTTTTTTCCCCTAGATCCTTAGCATTGAATATCCAACTTGAACTTAAGTTCTAGAAACTTCCCTATTGTAACAGCCGACTGGAAAGTGTGTGTGGTCTGTGGGTGTGGTGGGGAGAAGGTAGATTTTATTTCTCTAAAAGAGAGTGAGATTATTTGGCCAGCAACAAATGTAGGTTAGGGTGTGCCATTTCCAGGAAGCTTAGAAGCAGTGCCTATAGCCCCTTTGCCTTGGTGCACTCGGGAACATGGCCTCCATCAACTACTTTGTGGGAACAGCTGATTTGAAACACTCTTCACTGTTCGCTACTTGTACAAAACCCTTAGCAGGTGGATGGATACTTGAGCCTCATTTTTGTTTTTCACCTGCAAATTGGTGACAATGGTGGTGGAGGTGGGTTAGCTCACAGTGCTTTGGTGAATATGAAATGGGGTAAAGTACATGACCCCTTCTGCAAATTTCGTCATTAGCAACAATTGTATATTCATTATTAGGGAGCTCCTCCCCAAAATTTTATATGTGAAATCAAGTGAAAATTAAAATCGAGGATCTCCTAGAAGCCACAAGTAGGCCAGGAGGAGCGTGGTAGATGCGGGGTTGGTGGTGGTGGTGGTGGTAGTAGGTGTGGGGGTCTGGTCTGAACACTTGCATGTTTGGTTTGGAGGTTGGCAAAGCCTTCTCACTTTGTTTCTATCTTCTCTCCATCTTCTCTCTTGCACCAGTACCCAGATATTAGCACACAAGACCTGAAAATGTGGTATAATGAATGATTTATATCCCCCAAATTCAGTGCCAAAATGCTTTACCTTCAGGTTCTTAGAGCTATTTAGCAAAAAGCAAAATATAGTTTAGTTTTCCTTAATTTCTAAAAAAACTCTTCAGTCTGTCGTACCACATGGGTGAAGTGAAATGAGTGGAATATCCAGAAATTTCTAACATACCACCCACAGGCTGCTGCCTGTCATCTGTCCTCCTTCAGTCTGCTTCTGGAGAATTCTCTCATGGAGGCTGCTATCGACTTCCTGTTTGGAAAGGTCTCAGTTTTCAAATCACCCAGGTGCTGAATGTTCTGGGCAGTCAGATAACATGTCCCACCTTTGGGCATAGCCTGTTGGTCCTGATTCATGAGGACTGAGTGACCAGCAGTTCCAAGGGGTGGGGTCTCCTACCTGTCTGCTCCCATCAATTAGTCTTTGGTTTGTGGAGCTGGTATGGGCAAGAAGACATTCCCATAGAGCATGAAGACGAGGCCATGTGTTTTGAAAGTAAACTTTTAAGAGTAGATATTCATGCACCCCCATTCCTGTGATCTCATCTTAGGGGGCTGTGAGGTGTTTGAGAAGCCTTCTGCTCCTACTGGACAGGAGCAATGACCATCGCACTGCAATGCTGTGATACCGTACTCTTGAAGTCAAAAGAGCCAAGTCCACGTCACTGAATGTGAGCCCATGAGAGTCACCTGATTTTGCACATCGTCTGGCTCAGTCTCTAGTGGTGCCCAATAAATGCATACTGAACGAGTAATAAATAAGTGAATGTGTGTGTGTGAAGGCCTCTGTGGTCAGTGACCCGAGAGGAGATATGCCCCTGGATGGAATACAGACGCTATGGAAGAGGCTGAGCACTGGGAAGGGGACTCTGTATCCCCCTGGTTCCAGCTGGGACGGGCGATGGTCTTTTGACTTATAGAATGTGCCTGGGGAGGGAATGGAGGTCGTGTGGTCTCAACACAGGGGTTTGGGCAGGGGCCAGCAAGCAAAGACTGTCACAGAGGGTCTGATGCCAGGCTAAGCAGGGTGAGCTTTATCCCGAGACAAGAAGAAAAGACAGGAATATTTTTCAGTCAAAATGTGGTATGAATGCAGATCTGTCTCTCTTATATAACTATCTATCTTTCTGGAAAAGTGGATACTCAGAAAGAGGGAAGGAGGGAGGAGGGAGAAAAGAGAAAGGGGAGGGGAAGGAGTGGGGAGTGAGAGAGAGAGAGAGAGAGAGAGAGAGAGAGAGAGAGAGAGAGAGAGAGAGAGAGGAGCAGTCATTTCTGCAGGCTCCATCAAGATCTGCCAGGTATGGCACTCCAGGCTGTGGAGGGAAACCTGGGAGCAGAGGGAGATGGGAGCAGAGGGAGATAGAGAGAGCGTTTTCCAGAGAAAGTCAAGTGACTCCAGTGCTCAAGTCTTGGCTTTGGATCACTACGTCATCGAGGATGAGTGGAGAGGAGGAGAGGAGACTGACCTTATGACTTGAAATTGGCAGGGGCTAGCAGGAGAGAACTTTCTCAGATGGGGTACTGTGTAGTGGGGCTGAATCCAGGCTGGGGTGGGTGGAGGCAGCCATTGTGGGCCCTGTGCAGACCTTGGGGTGCGACTGGGCTGTGTAGGGTGCCCCATACACAATGGCAATGCACCTGCATTTTCTCTTCACCCTATTGAAGCCCCAGTAAACTGTGGAGCAGCAAATACACAAGAGGTTTACAAATTTTGTGGGGAATGTTTGGCAAGAACAGTGAACTGTTGTGACATTGCTTGCGTGTGTGTGTATGTGTGTGTGTGTTTATTTCACATCATGGTGTAATCTGAGTTTGCAGCTCTCTTGCCAGTTGGAGTTTAGAAAGGCAGAATTTAAATGTTACTGTGTAACTTGTGAGATGATTGCCTACAAGCAGTATTTAATGAAGGGTAATTTTAGGCTGGTAAAAGCACAATGCCTCACTGATAGGTGTTTAAAATACCCAGTACCCACTCCCACCCCTCTATGCCCAAATACCTAATGTTCTTCTCCTTCCACTGTCCCCAAGAATGACATAATCTTCCTCTCTGGCTGTCAGTCTCACGTGGTGGACCCCACATGATTGGGTGACTAAAAGTCTCTGTCTTGAAATAATGCTTCATAATACCAGACTCCTTCCAGGAAAGTTTCAAAATAAGAGAATTTGACGAGAAAAGCAATTGCCACATATTTATGGCCTTGGATATGCATGTCATCATGTCATGTCTTTTATGCATTTCCTCTTTCCTTTCCCCCAATTGTCATTGCAATTTTTCTCCATTTATTGAGAAAATCATTTTGAGGAACCAACAGCCTCATTAAGACACAATTAGGACTGCCCTGGTTAACTCCACCAGGAGGGATCAGGGCATGGGATGGGAGGGAGATGACAGGAGGAAATTGAGTCCAACAGGCAGGACAGGTAGTAAACTCAGGGGCCAGGCATTGAAGGCCCAGAGTTAACAGAGAGGCTCGTCAAGCAGCACGGCAGGCCATGGGGATACAGGCCTGGGTGACAACCCAGAGTTAGCATTTATTGAGGCTTCCTATGTGCTAGAGAGTTAGATGACTTCCTTATCATTATCTCTGACTCTGACATAAACCTGGTACTCTAGATACTCTAACATAAATTATTTATTTATTTGTTTATTTATTAATATTTATTTATTTATACAAGCACTGGGGTACAGTCAGAAGCGCGGGAGGGTGAGAGAATTCACCAGAGCCAGAGCGGGGAGCAGAACAGGCAGAAGGACCGAAGTACACTGCTGAGGGGAGCAGCGGGTGGCAGGGGAGGTCTGCGTGCCATGTGGGACCCTCCTCTGGAGGCTGGGGAGCAGCCGGGGATCGAACCGGCGCTGCAGAGGCTGCGGGCAGCTTCGCAACCCAGCGCTCAACCGCTGCACCACCGGGGAGGCCCTAATCTAACATAATTTAATGCATCATTTAATATCAATGTTTCAGGGGGTAAAGATTGCATACACACGAGAGAGAGAGAGAGATTGACATAGTGAGACTATGTCCAGAGAAAAGAATTTTATCCACCCAAGTAGCAAGCCAGCTTTCACCTCTCTCCCTGGGGGCTTGGAGGGTGAAGTCAGATCTTGCAGTTATTAGAAGCTCAGGTGACTCAACCATGTGGAACAATCAAGATCCCCTTCTCTAAATGTCTTGTACACAGAAGTTGGGATGAGGAAGGGAGAGAACAGCACGTGACTCAGACACATAAACATGACAATTTAGGGAAATAGAAGAGAAAGAAATATAAATAAAGAAAAGAGGGACTGGAAGACAGACATGGGGGTAGAGAGCAGGAGGGAGGAGAAGACAAGAAGTTGTGAGAACAATGGGCTAATATAAGTCAGAGGAGCAGCAGCTTGGACTTGTCTCCCAGAAGTCCCAGGGTCCTAAGAGTTTCATGCATTTTTTGTTCAAATGGGTTATAAATTCAATTCTCTGGCTTGAAAGGTATACAGTAGTATGTCTGTTCTGTTTTTTTTTTAAACTATATATTTTTTGTTATTGTGTTGAGGCAGTAGTTTGTCTGTTTAAGCAAAAGGAAGAATTGAATTTTCTATTGATGGGAAAGTCATATTAGCTGTTTCTATTTGTGTGATCATTACCCAAATGGCATTTCAGTGATTATTTCTGTTGTCCTTAAAAGTTACCTCTCTCTGAGTCCTCGTCTTGCCTGAGAATCACTTCCTACATCTTGAAATCACTTCCTACATCTTCTCCTTTGGTCTCTATGATTCACATGCCGGGCTTTGCACTTTGATTCTCTGTGGTAATCTTTCAAAGTCCTATTCATCCTCCATCCTTTAAGAGTGGTGCCCAACCCACCAGTTTTATCATTGCTGCATAACAAGCCACCCCAAATATAGTGACTTTAGACATTGAGATCATGAGTCTGTGGGTCAGCCGAGCATTTCTGCTGATCTGAGCCTGGCTTGGCTGATCTTGCGGGGCTCCTCATCTAGTTGCTGTCTCCTCCAGGTCAGTTGGGGCTGTCTGTCTAGGGTGTATTGGCCATTAAGCACAAGGCTTTTCTTAGGTTGTTCTACTAAGAACCTAATTTAGAATTATAAAAATCATGGAAAGCTATTTCTGGTTAGGAGTTGGAGATAATAATATTTTCTGATTTCTGACTTAGAACACAAGGCTGGATACATTACCTCTGAGAGGTAGTAGTGGTGTGCTTAATGCAAAATAATCAAAGTCTTTTTCCCACAAGACCACCCATTCCTCCTCCTACCCCTCGGCTTGAACCCTGATGGGGCCAGTGCCATTGATCTGGGATGCCCTAGCTTTCACATTTTCTCTCCCTGTTAAACTTCTTCAAGACCCAGCTCAAAGGCCTCCTTGCATGAGTAATATTCTACTCCTCCTTACCAAAAAGAATTACTGTCTCTCGTCCGTGTTGACACAGCAGCCCAATGTGGCTGTTCTGACACTGATAAGCCACACTTTTATGTATGTGATCTTGCGCTACAGTGTCAATGGCTTTCAGGGATGCTTGCTGCTCTGAACTGGACTCCACATCTTTATTTTAACAGTGAGGAAACAGACAAGTGTCTTGCACCATCCCTTTTGCAAAAATTCCCTTTTCCTAATGATCGATCAATCTATAGTCAGTACTATGGGAAGTGACATCTTTTGCTGTATTATTTCTTAAAATTCTTTTAGCGCAAAACCCAGTAATTCCTCATGTGTAAGTTACAAGAGCCTGCACTCAGGACTTAAGTAAGCAGGCTGGGAGCAAACAGTTTGCAGTGTTGAAGGATGTACAAACCATTCTGTTTCTGCTAAGTCCAGCTGACAGAGCTACAGCAGGCCCCTCTATAGGTTGTCTGGGATTTTCCTGTGTGGGGTGAATTAGCTCTGCAGAACATCTTATCCTGGGAAACAAAGGCTGACAGTGGTATGAATAGACTGCTACATGTTGATCAGTGTTCCTATAGACAGGCCCATTGTCTCACTGTGTCCAGAAACCCCAAATTTATAGATTTCTCCCTTTGCAATGTTCTCCCCCCACCTCAGTTTATTTCCACAAACTTGACCTTTGGAGCTGAGACTTTTTCCTGATTGGCGCTCCCAGAGTCCATTTTTTTTTTTTTTTTTTTCAGATAGCCATGTTGGCAATCTCCTTAATAGCCTAAGGAAAGAACTAGAAGCTTACATATGGAGACCCCATCCTCGGTTGCCTAATGGATTCAAAAGACATCCTGAATATTCATCATTTCTCCTTTATGAGCACCTTGGCAATTCCCTCCAAAGGTGAAGGCTGCAGTAAATTCAGAAGTGCCATTTAGCAAAGACCAATTTATTCTCAATTCAAGTCTAGTTTCCCCGCCCCTGTTCCTCAGCCCAGCATTTGCGCTCCTGAGAGCTCAGTGAATGCAGGGCATTGTCTGGGCTTGGAGGAGGCAGGATTGTTTGTGCAAATCCAAAGCTGAAGAAGTAGTCGCAGGCCACAGCTCCCTGCACTTTCTCGGTGTTCTCTCTCTCTTTTTTTTATATACAATAAACTTAGCAAAACTTTTATTTTACCTGTGTGTTTTTCATCGTTTTGACCCATTTTACTCAGTGCTTTTTATAATGAGGGTGATGTTAGAACCATGCTGAAACACTTGGCTTTGTGGCAGGACTTTCAATTATGAGTTGTAAATTAGCAAATATTATTTTTCAGCTCCATGTGCAACTTTCCCCATGGAGTGCATAGCTGTCCGCAAACTGCAGCTCCCAGG